AGCTCCCTTCGAGCTCCAGCCTGCTCTTAGCACGCTACAACATAAACTCTCATACCAAACCCACCCTAAGACCTTTTCTGACCCAGGTCTTACAATAACCATGCCAGAGGTCACAAGGTGTCTAAGTGCAGAGGGTCAAATGGGACAGTAGTGAAGTTATTAACAACACCGCCATTACACCGCTAGTCCCAGAGATTGAGGATAGAGAAGGGGAGAACTAGTAGCAGCCAAGTCGGAGCGGCAGTATTGCCAACGACGGGGAGCGAACCAAAGAACTTATAAGTCCAAAGGTCAGAGGGAGAAGTACTTCAAGGTGACAAGCCTGAAGACTAGAGAGTGACAAGAGTACAGAGGAAGTCTCAAGTCAAGGACATTGAGAGGATAATCTAAGTTGTGTCATGAAGTACGTAGCCCCTATCATTTTCCTTTTCTCACCGTTTCGATGCTTTTACTTGTATGATTACATCACCACCAAATCCCATCGATTACTGATCCACCTGACCCCCATCATCGATTACCAATCCACCTGTTACCCTTCTCCTTCTACCGGCTTCCGCCACCTTCCTTGTTCCTAAACTGTACAGCATTACATCGTTATTTCTCGCAGATCGGATTATGTATAAATAGCCAAACCCCCACAGCCTGGTCCCTTATCTTGACCTCTCTGTCATTATCTTGGGACCAGCTTGGGACCAGTCTGTCTCTGCTCTGCTTAGTCACTCCGCATTATCACTCCGCATCGTCGCTCCGCCTCCCTGCTCCACTTAGCCACTCCGCCACTGCCGCTTTGTGACAAGTTGATAATTAAACTGAGGAACTACAGTATAGTACAGGCAGTATTTATATCTACGGATCGGCACATCGGGGCAGAGTGCCAGACTAACTACTAGGGGCTATACAAGTAGTACCTACAGGGAGGAGAATAAGACAATAAGAAGGAACTAGGATGAAAGGGTTTGTGTAACGAGAAAGAACAATAACAAGGAGATTACAATAAAGATAACTGTCCATGTATATGACAAATGCAATGGCTCTGACATCTGCACCTGCGAACCCTACCTCACCTACCCCATGGAAGAATGCATCTGCACCACCCAGGGCCAGCACCCTGACCAAATCACTGCGGCCTGCCGAGGCTCCCTCAATCCATCTAGCATCAAACACGGCTCACCCGGCATCAGCATTATTGTCTACTTCCATAAAGAAGGCCGTGCCCTCAGCAAGATCACCAAATACCTCATCTACAACCTCCGCAAATGCACCAGCAACTCCACCCTCACCTACTTCCGCTCCACCAAGCTCGTCGCCGGTGTCAAAGACATGCGCTTCCAGGCCCTCATGCCTGATGTCCTCCACTGCCCCGGCATCTCCCACATTGACAACATGGTCAGCATGAGCAATATGAAGTACGATGTGATTGTGGGGAGTGGGATTGAGATTCAGAAGAGGTATGATATTCTGGGTTATTTGATTCCGGGGGACTCGAGGGTGGAGATTGATGTGAAGATTGTGAGTGGGTATTATACCAAGGGGAAGAGGGTTACACAGGAGGAGTTGGGGAATACCGTGGGCAGGGCATGGGAGGAGTTGGAGCATTGACCTTTCCGTACTTAATTGAATTACTATCTTCCTTCCCTAAAAATCAATCTCATCTTTACTATCCATCCGTGGCCCCCAACTTCCTCAAAAGAGAGAAAGAAAAAATACATTGACAATCTCACACAAACTCCCTGGCTGGGAGTCGAACCCAGCTTTCGCGCGTTTCATGCATTTATCCAGTAGTCAGTCTTCTTACTAGTGGGAATATGACAGGCGCGTGTACTAAACCGATATACTACCAGGGATATTTTATTTAGAGGCCGGGGTGGGTATGATAGGAGAGGATTGCGATGTGGGTGTGGTTAGGTGTGGTTGGAGGGATTGTGGTTGAGGGGATTCAGAACTTGGGTACTTGGGTACTCGAGTCCGTGGTGGATTCTGATCGTTTCTTTGTTCAAACTTCACAGGTTATACATACACACACAATACACCTACCTATCCATTCCTTCCAACCCTCCTTTCATTCCAACCCTCCTTTCATCGCGTCCAATTTTTGATTGAATTTTCTCCATCAGTGAGTAAATTCTCCTTTCAAGTTGTCGCAACACGAGATCATAGATGGGGGTGCCGAGGAGGGTTCGAGGTTACCACTCACCACTCCCCACTCCCCTCTCCCCAATTCCGCTTATTACTATCACTATCACCATCCCCATCCCAAAAGCGCACCATCAGCGGCCTCCCTCGTCGATACTCAGACACATCCTGTATATGTAACATACACATACACATACATACATACATACACACCCACGCGTCAGAGCCGCACCCAACCAACTCCCCTTGAGCTTCGAACTTCCGATATCAATATCAATATCTATATCTCATCCCCACACCCCCGCCTTCCTCACACCCCGCCTCCCTCGCATACCCCGCCGTCCTCGCAAGCGCAAGCCTTGGAATGGAATTTTGAATGCCCCGGAAGGATTACTGGCAGTATTCAGCAGTATTCATGCCCGAATACTCGATTTTCGTGTGTATATGGAGGAGTCACTGTCAGGGAGTCGGTGATCGATAGACTGTGGAGTGGAGACTGTGGAGTGGAGACTGTGTGGACTGAAGGAACGAACTTGAAGGAAGAAAGGGAGGAAGGAATGAATGAATGAAGGACGGAAGGAAGGAATGAAGTCGGAAGGAATGGAATATAATACAACCGATCCACGGGGTCAGGAGCCAGATGCTTGCCGTGCTGCGTGATCTGCAACAACGACTGCACTGGGATTGTGATAACACGTGGATGAAGCTTGAAGAGTGGTTGTGGTAACTCTTTCTGAGGAAGTATACGATGAATCATCTCCGTGGGATTCTCTCTCGAGGAACACACATCCCAGCTCCTCCTCTCGATTTTACGCCGTACACCCCGCCGCACGCAGGCACGCGGCAACAGGGAGATATGCTATGGAAAACTAAACCCTTGATCTCAACCACCCCGAATATTCCCGAATATCACACACGAGAACTCGTTCCATCCAGAACGTGTCGTCCCAACTACCCCCACAAGCACTACCCACATATCTCTCTCAACACCTCCTTTTCCTCGTCCGTTCCCCGTGTTCTAAAATAACAACAACAACAACTCAACCCAACTCAATTCAACTCAGCACCGCACACACCCCTCACCTCACCTCCCTTCCCCTCGCCCGTCCGCGACGATGACGATGACAATGACCAACTCCACCGCTCAACACCCTCGGTGCTCAGACGTTCTTTGACCTTCGAGCTCAGCGCGTATGTAACCCGGATTGGTATCGTTCGGTGAGTCGACGGTGTCTATATACATGTACATATTCATATACATTCTTTTCATTATAGCGATTCCACGCAAGTATTTTTTGTTTCGGACTCAAGTTCCTTCCTTCCGATAAGCCAACTCCCTTTTTCCTTCCTTTCGACTAGCCAACTCCATTCCTTCCTTCATTCATCCATCACCATCTGTCTCACAAGCGCAACATGCTCCTCCGAGCGAGGTTTGATGCGGCATTCGAAAGGCGCTGGACCGCTAGGGTGTTGGATCAGTATCAGAGGAAAGATTGGGAAGGGAAAGTAAATATTGGAAAGTGAGAAGAAAGCAGAAGAATAGCGAGAAGAAGAAAGCTAAAGGGTTAACGAATTCCCCTACTTAGTACTTGGTACTCAGTACTCACTTTGTGATCCCCGAAACATATTTAATCTCATTCATCGTCGTCAAATGATCCCTATCCCCATTTCCATTCCTATGATCATGATCACGATCATCCACAGGAGGGTGGATATCAAAACAACACAGAAGCGAGGCGACGTTGATCGAGAATGTGGACAGTGCCATGTGTTGACCGGGGCAGACTCTGTTTGTGGTTCATCCGAAATAATCAATCAATCAGTCACCAACAACCCCCCCTACATACCTTCTCCCAAACCCGAAACTCATCGGAATCGGATCATGTTGTTGTATCATTTCGGAGTTCAGGGTCCATTGGACCAGGCTCCCTTTTTCATCAGAGGTAGAGGTCCGGAGGAGCCATCGTTCGGGGTCGAATGTGGATGCGGTGGGACCGTATCTTTTTTTGTCTCGGAGGATTGACCTGGGAGGGGGGTGGTGGGGTTATGGGTCAAGGAGTGGATGAATGGACGAATGGAAAAGAAAAGGTCTTCACTTACCATACATTGGCTAGTATCGTCGAGCCTTTGGGGATGTAATAACCTTTATATGTATCTTCTGTATCGACAAGGTGGGGGACAGCTGGATAATCATAAAAAGAAAAAATGAAAAGAAAAATTAAAATTAGAATTGGAATGAAAATTAGACACTAAACATTGGTTCTGAATAGTGATTCATATACTGTAAGTACTCACCTAATGGAACAACAGTCTGCCATCTATATAATTCCGAAACAAAAATTCATATCAAATTTTTTTTTCAAAAATCGGGTCAAAAAAAATTCCAACACCCAAGGGAGGGAGAACAAAACAAACAAATCTCCGACTTCAACCGAAACGGTAAATCATACCTCAGACATTCCAAAATGATTCCCCGCACATACGGCAACGTATGTGGATCGTCCACATCCTGGTAATCCGGGAGCCGTTTCCCACCCAGAACTCGATCCAGCTCCTCCTGGGCAGCGCGCTGTGCTTCCGGGAAACACATCATGGCGAGAAGGAAGGTCCGGAGAGCGGTTTTGCCGGTGTCTGCACCACCTGAATGGAGATCATGACTCCTGATATGTGGACCAGTTGGGTGGAGTGGGAGATGGACATACCTTCGTACAATGTCCCCGCTGTTTGCATGATCATCTCTTCTTCCTCCGAGAGACGAGTGGGATCAGAGTCGGAATCGGGATGAGGATCGAGCTGTTCTGCATTTGTCAAACATCGACTGGTGAAGCTATCTTTAGCGGTTCCATCAATCTGCAGACCTCAGGTTATCACACTCTGGTATAAGAGTCGTATGAAGTCCCAAAAAATCGATTTCCTCACCATTGCCTGCTTCACCTGCATGAACGGAGGTCGGATTGTCGCATCCCGGATCCCATGCCAAGATTTGGCTTTTTGTTTGAAAGAAGCACCTGGGAACCATGCGGGGATGTATTGGAGAATCGAGAAGACATCCTGATGGGGAAAAAAAGATATATATGATAGGCATGAATTTTGATACACAACAAGGGAAAGGGCAAGGGCACTCGGAGAGACCCCGGAGGTGGTGGCGTACCACAAAAAATGCACCAGGGACAAGAGCTGCGTTTAAAACAGAGTACATCTTTGAAGCTGCGATGATATTCGGATCGTCCTTTGGCTGGACTTGCACACCATATGCTACACCGATGATAATCGCACCAATCATCCTATACACATCAAATATGTCCAAGATTCGTGTGTTCATATCGTAGAATCAAAAAGACTGAACAGAATGAGATAATTGAAACGACTGACTGTTTGATATGACCAACCCATTCCTCTGGTGTATCAATCAGACTATTCAAGAAAATCCCCAATGCTCTTTTTTCATGTATACGATGTATGGAAAGATTTGTTGGATGGAATTCTATACCATCATATTGATTGCTAAGTAGTAAGCAGCCGCAGAGCAGACATTTATGGAAATTGAACATACCTTGATGGAAAAGCTTTCTATGAGCATTCAAGGCTTTTCCTGATGACATGAAAAGGAGATCTCCCTTCCATCTGCGTGATATGAATCACAGTCCATGGTGATGCAGTGATCTGAGGATAGAAACACAAAAACTCACCCTACACTTGAACAAGAGATATACATCACTACCCATAACACAGTTTTGCTAGTGAGATATAATACTTACAGGTCCTGTAGCATTGTAAAATGTGGTCTAGAAAATAAGAAATATTGAAGCCATTTTCCTTCGAGGTAGAAGAAGTGTTTATCCTTACCGGCTTGAATAAATAGCGGATCTCTTGTCCAGTAAGTCAATCACTGCCTCATATGAGTTTAGTATGATATAATCCTCTCCCGCAACCTTGAGGTGGAGGATATCTGAATCTATAAATGTGGAATGAGATATGGACTAGTTCGGAGGCTGTCAATCGCATACCATATTGTTCAGCCCATTGGGAGAATATAATGTGTTGATCAGTAGCTGGCATATCCTTGCATTGAGTAGATGAGTATCAAATGGAATATTCAGACAATTTCATGACATACTAATGTGTTTCCGAGGATTGGTAGTTTCCTAGGTCCAGGAGGAAGAGGCAGTTTGATTCCCGACCCGTAGCTATGATGACGCCAGAGAGATAAAATGGAAGCCAGTGTCAACATAACAAAGATCCCAATCGTCATTTCGTCTTGAGTCAAAGCTGATAACAGTGCCATACTGAGGTTGTGGGAGAACAATTGGTGATTTGGGACTTGGATAGGATAGGATAGGATAGGATATGAATTATACTGGCGAGGTCCGATTCCCGAACAACCAGTTTACCATGTACTGTACAATATTACATAATGTTGTACAATAATGGAACACACATATCTAATACAGGGGGGCGATTATGATCATCCATGTCCTGGTTATTGAGGGGAAAAGCGGAAAAAAACCCCTCCCATGGTATCATGAACTACACGGTCTTCCCTGCCTCAATATGCATGCAGCGTGTCACTCCAGCCAATATATTTCAACAGC